AGAGTTCTACATCTGGACTGGTAGGCAATAGGAAGAGACAGTGAGCCACTGGGCCTTGGCTTGAGCTTCTGAAATTTCAAAGCCCACCCCTAGTGACACATTTTCTCCAATAAGGCCATATCTCCTAATATCTTCAAATAATGCCACTCCTTGTGAGCTTACGGGGGACATTTTAATTCAGATTACTACAGACACCCAGCTTCTTGAGCTGCTTTGGCGCGGGGTCCCTGTGTCACTCCATCTGAGACTTTGCACCAACAGTTCAGAAATAAGCCAGACACTCATTATCCGCAGACTGTGGGGTAACGTCAACAAAAATTCAATATACCCAGCAGGCAACCATAATCATGTAGATTTACCCCTAAAAATCAACAGATATAATTATATGAAGTTATACTCAAATTCCCAGGAGAATTATTAGAATAAAACAAACATCAGTAAAGTTGTTCTGCAGTCTGAACAGAAATATCTGTTCTCAAGACTAGTCAGGACAACTTAGAACGAGACCAGCTAGAAGAGAACACTCCCACTGAATAATAAGCATCAGCCACTGGCAACAGTCTGGGAGACCATGTCACCATACTCTTCCTATGTCCTAAGTATTGGTTGTATCATACGAGCCAGAGGCGATGTTAAGTGCCAAGAACCTGGTAAGATAATTAAACCCCTGAAAGAATTGATATTCTTAACCATGATGGAATTGGAACCACATTTGTTGGGAAAAGGGCAGTGTAAAATGAGACAGGAGACTGGAAAGATGGCCTAGTGGTTGTTCTTCCAAAGGACCTGGAATCAATTGCAAGCACTTGCACAATGATTCGCAGTTTCCTGAAACTCCAGCTCTAGGGGACAGAACACCATCTCTTGGCCTGTGCAGGCACTAGGCACACTTGTGCTCAGAGATATACATTGGTAAAATACCCATACACATAAAATAATAATTAAAAAATTAGACAGAATTCCTCAAAGTTGCTAACTAGGAATCTTGTTGCTAATAGAAACTTCCTTCAACACTGGGAGATGGGGAAGGTTTGGGAAGGCTTGGGAAAGCTTGGGGCCTCAGGGAAAGACATTTCCCAGTGACCTAACACACACAGTCCACTGAGCAGAGACAGAAAGGTCAACAGCAGTGTGTGATCTTTTGACATTGGCCCGTGATGTCAAGTACAAAAGTGTTGGGTCACCTCCATAGGTGTTTCGAGGCACATGTGGCCTACAGGCTTTGAGATTTGACACACCAGGCCACTTTTTAGGACCTGTGATGGCCATGGTCACATGGGAATAGAGCAGGGAAAGGTGCAGATTCAGTGGGCTTCAGGAGGCTGGAGCTGGCCAGGAGAGAAACAGTCCTGGGTAAACGTTGGAGGCCAATGGGGCAGGTTTTCCTACTCTCTAGCATAGAGTCTCTTCTCTCTCCCTGGAAACCTGGCCTAGAATCCAGCTCTGTGGGACCTATAGCTATATCAAGGGTTCTTCTCCAGCCTGGCCCCAGGCAAGTAAGCTATCCTGGAAATTTTTTTGGGTGGAGGAGGCTTCCCTTGGACTGGGAAGGAGTAATAAGGGGCTTAAATTTTTTGAGTTGGCAGGACCTTTGAAGCCTTATGACCAACAGCTTCTCAAAATATTGGGCAATAGAATTAAACACACTGATTCTACAGGTTTTAAAAAAAGGTGAAGGGTTTTGTCCTAAGATCATAATTCAGACCTACCAGGCTCTAGTTTTACCACTTTCTAGTACATCTTTAAATGCTGAGAAGGTCCCAAGTTGCTAGAGGAGCCGTCTCATAATGTGGGAAAACAGAAAATTTGGTTTTAGGTCTTGATCCTTCATGAAGTTCCCTCTTTGGTATGTGCTTTTCGCTAAAGTCACTGAAATTCTTTAAGTCTCAAATTTCTTATCTCTGGCTAGAAAATAAAACAAGCACCCCATGCCAGGCAGTGGAAGGAATCTGAGATAAGATAGTGATTTTTTTTTGCCAAGTACAGTACACTAAATATAGATTATTAATTATCACCACAACAGCTTCTCTTGATGGATGTTTAAACAGCCTCAGGCCCGATATTTGCAAAGAGCCGTTAGATCTTAGTCAAGAATAAACTGGCAACGCCCGCTCCTTCCCCAAACATCTGTTGGTAAAGAACACTTTAAGAGCTGCTAATACATCGGAGCAGTTCTGTTTGCTCAGTCCCAAATAAGCTCACACGATCCCAAAGACTTCTGGGAGTGGTTGTAAAAGCTGCTTCCAAATGCAGAAACCAGACGGAGGGGTTATTTTTAAATGCACTGCCATTTGTTTCTGAAATTCCCCAGACACTTTAAACTCCACAAAGAAAAGTCTGCCTTCTGGACCCAGGGAAGGCATTTGAGTATCTCCCAGGTCCTGATAAGGCCCTGTCAACACAGGGCACTGGAGGAACCCCTCCAAGATCAACCTAGAGCACAAAAGACCTGAGTTTAATTAACAAGAATTAGGAGGCATTCGTGCTCCACACTCTCTACTGGGTGGATCCACTTCAAAGGGGCAGAGGGAAGAAAAGTTGAACCAATGGCAAGAAGCGTAAAAAAAAGTATGGCTGGAAGGACCAGGCTCACAGGAATCCCTGGGTTCCTGAGAACACCAGATTACCTGTTCATTCACTTGCATATTGGATTCATTACATAGCACCTACTCACTGCAAGGTGTGCTGAGCCAGACACTGGAGCCTTAGGGGCACAAGGCATACCAATCACTCCTCCCCAGAGACTAGGCATGTAGCAGAGGCTGACCTGGTGTTGGAAGCAGCAAGACTCATGGAAATCAGGATACTTGCTGTACAGTAGATGTTTGGGCAGCCCATGCTGTAGAAAGAGCTTGGTTCTGAGCCCAAAAGTCTGGAAGTTCTTTTGAAATGATTAGTGGGTAGGGAACGAGGGAAAGGGGTGTTCTTTATGAATCAAACTATCTGCGCAGGTATAGAAAATATCCAAGGGATGGAAAATCCCCTGCTGCTCAAAGAGGGAGACCAAGAGGCAAGTGGCTCTTCTGTCAGGAACAATGACAATACTGTCTAGCGTCAGATATGACCAAGCAGTGCCATTTTCCTCCCTCATAATCAAAGGTGTGGATATCAGAAGGGTCAGGTAAAGCTGGAGTATGTTTACCTGAACTAGAATGATTGGCAGAGGCAGGTTCTATGCAGGATTAGGCTCAAAATTTTAGTTTAAATGGTTCTCAATCTTTCCTTGTTTCTGTGTGTGTGTATGTGAGTGTGTGCGCACGTGTGTGTGTGTGTGTGTGTGTGCATGTGTGTGTAGAGGAGAATCTTGGTGTCATTCCCTAAGCACTGTTCATTAGTCGTTGGTGTTTATATTGTAGTTGTTTGAGATAGGGTACTACACTGGTCTGGTAAATAATACAGTTTCTGTGTTATTAGTTCAGGGCTGAGCAGAAGGGAACTAACTAGCGACCTTCTCACTACACCAGTGAATCTCAGGCTTGGAGCTGGGTCCTCCTCCCTGGTGCTGGGATTATAGGCATGCACTACCACACCCAACTTTTTACAGGATTCAGATTATCAAGGATTTTTTTTTAAAAAAAAACACAGGTTCTGAAGTTAAGTGTCTGAGTCATCACCCCAGCACCTCCATCTTTCCATAGATTGGGTTATTGGCACTCTATTCACTATTCCTCTGCCTGAAAGATCCACTTCTTAAATTCTCTCTTCTTTCAGTTCTAAGGGCTTCTTTCCAAGATGGGATCTCAAACCGTTTCCTGTCTGCTTTAAAAGCCTTGGTTATATTCCTTTCTCCCAGAAGCATTTCTCACTGGAGCCTAAAGGAAAATAATGCATATCTATTGACAAGTGAATGAATGGATACAAAAACTGGTCTATGCCTACTTATATCTAAAGTCAAAGGCTTTTAGGAAATGTACCATGTTCATGCTACATGGAACGCACAAATCATGAACACCCCGTGTTTCCACCGATATGAAGTTCTAGAACAGACAAAGTCAGAATGAAGCAGAGAGAGCCTTCCCGGAGCTTTGGGGATAAGAAGGTTCAGGACTCACATTTAGAAGGTACAGACTTATCTACACTAAATGATAAAAACAGTTCTAGCATCAGATACCATTGATGGCCACACAACACTGGGAATGTCTTTAGTGCCACCGATTAGACTCTTAAAAATGACTAGGATCATAAGAGGAGACAAAGAAGAAAGTGAATAAATGCACAAGCAAAACCCCTGGGTAGTATCCAGGTACATCGGAAGTTATGCATCAGTCAGGCAAGGCTGTGCACACTGTCCCCACACAGCCACTCTCACCTGGGTTCTGCCTCTGGTTACTGCTAGCACAGCCTTTAACTTTTCACTCAACATTCCCTCTGCAGGGCCATGTCCATTCGTACTATTATCTTCCCCTGTCCTTTTCAGGGGTTTCTTTTTTAATTTCCCATGATCCCTTAAAACATCTGCCTTAAGTGTGGGTGGCCCTTGCCCTGGAACTGGGATGTGTCTAATTTACCATGGCACTCCATCATCTAACACAGTGCTGCTGAGAGGCAAATACTCAACACAAGCAGTGGCTAGGCAGTGGCAGAACAGCTCCTGATGTAGCCAATTAGGTCACTCATTTCTTCCTTCTTGTCATCATCAGCATCACTGACCCATCAACAACAGCAGTAGCCAGCAGCATCAGCACCACCACCGCCATCCACTCAGCAGGCATCTCAGTCCACTAGATAAAATCCTGAGTAGTGAGTTTTCCTCACCATAATGGCTTTTAACCTTAACAAGGTCCCAGGGAATAGAAACACCCGGCCATGGAGACTTTTCCACATGAGTAAAAAGCAGAAAGGAAGCCTTTTAGCCTCTGGACCACACCTACCTGCTGTGACAGCCAGAACAGGATCCACAACAGTGTGAGGGATAAGAGAATACCAACAATGGCAGTCAGCTAGTCTCTAAAGTAAGGAAGATAGCTGAGACAGTACTAAAAGCAGGCCATACCACTCACCATAAGCAGAGCCCTCCTGAAGAGCTGGAGCCTGGGAGGCCTGGTGATGAGAAGGTGGATGCTGGCCACATCCGCCCCACCACGGTCCGACGCCAGTGTCACACGCCGAGGGTCTCCACCAAACGCTCCAATGTGGTTCTGCACCCAGGTCAGAGCTGCCACCTGGTCCAGCAGCCCCCAGTTGCCGGCTACTTCGTCAGAGCCTACAAAAAGAGGAAAGTCATTAGTGTATGTGTCCTAACAACTTTAGAGTTTACAGAAAAAGTGCTATGTCAGACACAAGACTCTCGGAGGGGACTTGTCCACCTAGGCCAGTACTATAAGCTACACACACAGGTGAGGATGCTGAAAAGAACCTGGACTTTTGAATCAAGCATAATCTGGCTTGTCTTTGAGCTTTGGACTGCATTAGCCAAGAGACTGGAAACACCTCTGCTCTTTGAGCCATGGCTTTCTGTCTGTCAGTGGACAGGGGAATGTGAAGGACTGGGGCTCAGAACAGGGGCCACGCATATTCAGTTCCAGCCCAGGCAAAGAGATGACTCCCACTCAAGGGCTCAGACCCTACCGCAGGTATACCTGTCAAACACTGGCTAGATCAGGCTAGGCAAGGGATCCCAGCCTTTCTTATGGCCTAATCTATGACTTTAGAAGTGTGCCACTGAACCACATCTCTTTCTTAAATCACAGAATTAATAACTATTTGTTGAAAATGTAGCACCATTTTTAATTATTTGCATGCATACCCACAAAGTAACAAAAATGAACACATCTCTTTAGATCGTCTAAGATGCTGCACTGTTCCTTGCCTGCCATGCCATGCCTCCCTGTTGGTCTGCCCTACATGCTGGCCCTCCAGTAACATCATGGGAAGTGAGCTTTACCCTGCTGTCAACTGAAGTTCACACGCATCTTGTCTTTTCTGACTCTGCTCTTAGTGACTGTGATGCTTCATACTGATCACTTGGCGTGTTCTAGAATCACCTCCTCCAGGAGTCTCTGGGCATGCCCATGAGCAAGTGTCTAGGCTGACTCCACTGAGGTGGGAGGATCACCACTGAATGTGGGAGGCACCAGTCTACCGACAGGGATCCGGAAATGAATGAAAAGGAGAAATGAGGGTGTCTGTGTCCTGAGAATGGGTGCAGTGTACTCAGCTACCTCAAGCTCTTGCAGGCGTGAGGAACCATACTTTCAAAACATGGGCCAAAGGAAACTCTTGCTTTCTTAAGGTGTTTTTTGTTAGATACTTTGTCAACAAGAAAAGTAAAGCACACAGACACCATGACTCCCGTCGCCATCTGCATACAGCTATATCCACAGGCCACACCTCTCTTAAGCTCCACGCATAGTCCTTCCTGAGACATCACAGCTATAACAATGAACAAGGGGCTTCCATATAGAACAAGAATGTGTCAGGAAGACCCCATATTCCCAAAAGTTCAAAGGTAGGAAATTCTTGCATGCTGATCGCCTGACCCAATATTTGCAAAGCTGAAGAGAGCACCAGCCCGGAGCACATGAATAACACGCACTACTCTTCCAGCTGGGCAGTTTTCCAGCTCTCCTCAATGGCTTCCCATGTCCTGGGCCTGGTGAAGCTGTTGGCAAACCCTGTCCTCACTGTGGCCTTTTCTGGATGGCTCCTGCGTCCCATTTGTCAAGATCAATGTGTCTGTTTCCTCCCAGCCTCTGCGAGTCCAGAAGCACAGGGTGCTGAGTGAGTAAGGACGGAGCCTGTGCGTGAGCCTGGGGAGAGATAACCGCAGTCTGCATTGCCAGGGACAGTGCGGGGCGTTCCTGGAGCTCCTGCCCATGTGTCAGCTTCCCACCGTGTGATGACGTCAAGTTCTGAGATCTGTAGACTCCTGGGTAGTAACAAGTGGGGTTGTCTAATAAGGCTTTCATCAAACAGAGGGGGGGGGGGCAGCCCTGGAAACTGGTTACACTGAGAGAGGCTGATACAAGAGGAGACTTTCTGAACATCATGTTGCTATTGTTTGTGTCTTCTTTCCCTGATCTGGCCCCAGCCTTCTAGACAGGACCATCCAGTATACATCCACTTGGCCTTTTATTACATGAATGGCTCCCATCTGTTCATTTAGTTTATTCAGCAACTCTAGAGGATCCCAGCAGTACCTAGTCTTGTCCATGGACTCCAGCGGGAGGTGGCAGGGCATGAGCCTAGATGAAATCCTGGCTCCTATGCCTGCTCTGAGCAGGACCCTGGGAAGCCTACTTAGTGTTCATGTATTTTGGTTCTCTCCATGTGTACAGTGGGTGTTTGTAATATGCTTTGTTTAATTCTGCTGATGACTAAATCTATGTAAATACAACAGATCTATTCCCCCAAAGTAGGCATCACAGCTGTGCTTTTATTTTGAAATATAATCGAACACGTTGAGGCCCAAGGAGTGTCCCACTGATGTCCTTAGCAGGGCAAGTTTCATTTTTTATAGTAGTAATGGCTGCTACTTTATTGGTTAGAGAAGATGTAAGATCTTCTAAGAGTCTAGAGTATCCAGTGACTGTAGTCATGTCACTGTGTGGTTACTGGTGGCAGACGGTCTTCCATCAGGTTCCTGGTTCAGGGTATATACACAGAGGGAGAAGGAGAACCTTCTCCATTTTTACACTCTGCCAAGGGCCTATGGACCCATTGTCTACCCTCCCTTTCTCACCTCTGTACCCAGCACCATAGGGCCCTGGCTGGGTCCTTTACCAGAAAATAATGCTGAAGAGTTAAGGAAGAGAAAGCAGGTTTTCCCTATTTCTACCTATATCTACCTCCAATCCCCCTCCCCACTCTGGGCAGATCTGTAGGGAGGAAAGTATGAGAGACCCAGAAGCTCTGGAATGAGGGAGGTACCCTGGGACCCGGGGTCAAGTGAACAGCACAAAAGGGACTGCCTTCCCTGGTTAAATGACAGTAGAAGAGAAACTCTGGCAGACAAGGCAACCAGAGTAACTTCCAGACCTCCCAGAAGTCTCTGTGGTCCAGTGTTTCTCGTTGCTGCTGTCTGAGCAGCAGAGAGCTGAGTTCAAGCTAAGTCTTCCACTGCCTGTGAATGATGAGCAAGTCCTTCAGTCTCTCTGAGCCTTGACCTCTCTTCTAGAAAATGGCAGAGTATGCTGGCCTCAGTGCTGCCTGAGAACTGTGTGAGGAAATTCAAGCAGGACGGCTGGCGAAGAGAGGCCCTCTGAAGTGTAACTCTCTCCAGCTGCTGACAATTTTTTATTTTTAATTTTTTTTAACAAAATCATCAGGTAGTGTTGATGTAAGTCAGTAAGGAGGAGTGGGTGTTCTGGAAGCTTCTTTCACTCTCCTTCAGATACTTACACCGGAGGTCAAAATGAATTTCCCTCTCCAGAAGGGTATAAATTCTCAACAGGATTTCACCCCCTGAAATCCGAATTCCCCACGCCCATCAGGACAGAGGACTTAGCGAAAGTCACTCTGCTGTCTAAGGAGACTTAAGCCAGAGTTAGTTGTGTCTGGAAAGGGCTCTCTGGGGCCATTCAGTCAGCTAAGCCCCAAATGTCCCTTAAAGCTCCAGAGAAACAGCTTTGCATTTGAATAGAGGACAGAAAACCCAACAGAAAAATTTTCCTCTTCTAAAAAGAAAGTTCCTGAGAGAATAATTCCCTCGCCCTGCTGAGAAACTTGCACTCCTCCACACCCTATACTGCCTTCCCTCCTCACTCCACCCAGCATCTGTCAGGGTATGGAGACTGGAGGAGACCCATTCAGGCCCATGGCTTTCAGCTGAACCTGCTGAGCCAAAGGAAAGTTACAGCAGCCAATCATTAGCATCTCCTCAGCCTTAAGGCGCATCATCTCCTTAACCTACACTGACTGCTGCCGACTTCACAGGCCACGCTGTGGCTTATTCCACGTGGTCCCCCTAGTCCACCCCACCCTTCTGCACTCTTTCTGTCCCTCCAGACTTCCATCTGTCTGTCCATTCTTAGCACATCCCAGGACTCAGAGGAGATCCTTGGAAATCAGTGATGAGGCTCAGCCCCTATACTCCTGGGTTAAAACCTCTTAACCTTTCCAGTATTCCTGAAAGGGGAGCAAAACCATTCCTGTTTTAGAGAGGAGGGATCTAACATACTGGGAGAAAGGGAGAGTTGGTCTAAGGTCAAACAATTGATGAGAGCCAGGTCTGGCCTTGGCTCTTCAGATCCCAAGGTCCTCCCCTCTCCACTAGTGACCAACCTGCCCATATCACAGAGGTATATAAAGGTACATAGAAGGCGTTTGTGCTGGACCAGGACTCTATTCTGCCCACGTGGTTGGTAGTGGGTGGAGCACACATAGATTCACAGAGAGACTAGAAATAAAGGTGAGGGAGTCACCCGATTTACACAGCCTTTGGACCAAGTCCAGTGGTCTCTGTGTGGGAGAAGAGTTTTGATCCTCAGAGATAGTCAAGGAAAGAGTACTCATAGTACGCTGAGGGAGTTCTGTTTCCTAAACAGTTATCTAACCTCCTTGGTTCCGAATCTTCCTTCTAAACATACACATGCATGCACATATGTTTGAATGTACACACTCAGAATGCATTCCATCATATCATACAATAAAGCATGAGATGTACTGGGACAATCTCAGACATACAGAAAATTTTCAACATATGGCAGCTATTATTATTCCTCTCAAAGAATTGGGGAGTGGTCGACACCCCTGGAAGATCTCAAAAATATGTCTAGCTTGGCCACAAGAGGGGGAATGCAAAGAGGTTCTGAAGTTAGAGAAGATTGGGATGAACTTGTGCAGGGAACAGCTGAGAGGAGAGCAGTCCAATTGCTCCAGTCTAGGTCTAAAAGGCCCCTGAATGCCTGTGTTCAAAGGCTTGACTTGGAATGGCTCTACTGAGAAATGGCTCTACTGATAGAACCTTTTCACTTTCTCAAAGGACATTGAAGCTCTCTAGCCGTATATCTCTCATTATTTGCTGCCTGGCCATGAGGAGTAGAGCTGTGCTGGGACATCCCAATTGCCACGCTGGGCTATTTTTGCATAGGGCAGTCAACAATGGACTCAAGCCTCCAAAACAGTGAGCCCAAATGAATACTTTCTCTTCTAAGCAAATTGTCTCAGGAAGCGAGACAATGGACGAATGATTGACCTGTCCATCACACCAGCAACGCACCTGAACTCAGGAAGCCAAAGACCCCCACTCTGTAATTGGCAGTGACGACGATGAAGTTGCCAACTGCAGCCAGGACGGAGCCATCAAGAGTCAACTGTCCTCCACTGCCTTCCATCTCCATGGTATTGTGGAAGAACACCAGAACTGATGCATTGGAGACCTGAAAGGGTTGGGGAGAGGGAGGAGGTGGAAGTTGAGCTTGTGCAAGGGGCAACTGTCATTTGTGAAACCAGACTCTGAGCCCTCTTGCCAGCTCTGCCTTGGCACACACTTAACAGTATGCAATGGGCTGAATTTTATCCTCCAAATTCATACACTGACACCCTAGTTCAGAAAGTGATCATACATGGAGACCTGATTATGGTCCAATACGTGAACTCTGATCCCATAAGAACAGTGTCTTTTGGGGAGAAAGAATTTGTACACAGGCACACACAAAGGAAAGGCCATGAAAGACCCCGGTAGAAGGTGTCAAGTGCAAGCAAGAAGATGCGCAATAGGGAAACTAGCCTTTTGATCTCGGACTTCAAACTTCCAGATTGTGAGGAGAGAAAGTATGTGTAGCTCAAGATGCCTACCCGTGGAAGTCTGTGATGTCAGCTCTAATGGGTTATTTCACCCCCATCTCATAGGTAGGAAAATGGAGGTTCACAGAGGTAAGGATGCTGTGCTAATGTTTCAAGGCGAATAGGAGTAGAAGCAAAGCTCAGTACAGACTTGGGGCTCCTCTTTCTCCCCGTACCCTTTTTCCTTTCATGGGCTAGGGTCCTTCAGCCTCTCAGCCCCAAGACTGCAGTAGCTTCTTAAGCAGATACAGGAAGAATTGTGTTCAAACCTAACACTTCATCTTTGTGAATCTCACATAAGACTTGCCCGGAAAGCTCTGAGGCCCCTTGTTCACTTTTGACTATCATGAAGAAAACTCAGTGCCTCTAAGGATGATGCCGTAGAAGCACAGGTTCCTTAGAGCCCAGTGAAGGTGGGCAACAGGATTGTTAAAAGGAATTATTCACCAGATAACACAAGAACTTCTAGACTCACCAGGTCCTCAGGGACAAACACATTGAGATACAAGCAGTCTTCACTGATTTGGGGAGGCGCTGGAGTCTGGGCACCTGGCTGCCAGCAGCTGGCCCTGAAGAAATAAGGCATGGGATTTTCAGAGAGCTATCAAAGGGACCTGCCCTCTCTCCCTCTCCTGCATACCCACCTCTTGTGGTCAAAGCCAAGGGCCTGGTTTTGCTGTTGCTCTGGAGCAGTGAGGAAGCTCCAGGCCATAGGAATGGCCAGAGAGTGGAAGGAGTAGCAGCCTGTCTCTGACCTCTCTGGCCATTGGACTGGAAAAACTTGTCATCCGGTAGTAAGTGTGCTAACTAGAGACCAAGGCCAGAGGAGGAGACTGGGAGCTGGCAGGGCCTTGGCTTTCCTTGCTGTGTTTCACAGACCCTGCTCTAAGAAGAGGTGGTGTCAGACCTACCTTCTGCATCAGGGAAGAGGATGGGGTGTCAGTTTGAGTGTCCTCTTGCATAGGGGTTCATCTAGGACCCCAACCAATGGCCACACAAGGAACATCTACCCAAGTCCATTTGGATTTATCCTCCAGGTGTTAGTTACCAATCCTGGGTTACAACGACTGAACTCTGTAGACACTGTCTACCTAAGATAGGGGTAGCCACCTACCTCTTCCGTTCCTTGAGACAGCCTAGTAGAAAGGCCCCTATTAGTGCCTCTGGGTTTGGGCTTTCCTATGGTGGAGACAACTCAGCTCTACTCCGTTGCACTTTGCCACTCTGCTCGGGTGGTCCTTGTCTTCCCCACAGGGCTTCAGGAGCCCCTCACTCAAAATATACTCCTATTGAGAGGCACCTGCTCTGCAGCCAGAGAGTAGCCACAGAGGGCATAGAGAACACTACTCCTCGGGACAGAGCCACAGAGCCCAAGGAGGGAATGCAAGTGGCAGAGGTACCTAGTGTTTATTCTCCACAGGGCTGAGCGACTTCTCTCACAAAATGCTCCAGTGGTATTCATCACGTGTCAATGTGTGACATGAATGGTTTGATGAGGGGAAATGATGGGGTCTGAGTGACAAGCTCAGAAAAGACGGGGAAGGAGAAACAGAACTTACATTGTTCTAGGGATTTTTCTTTCTTTTTTGATTCATTCATCTTTCCTGTCATGTTGCATTTTCTTTTTAATTAATTAATTTTACCTAGCAATCCCAGTTCCCCCTCCCTCCCCTCCTTCCCACTCTTCCCTTCTTTCCACTCCACCTTCATCTACTCCTCAGAGAGGTTAAGGCTTCCCCTGGGAAGTCAACTAAGTGTGTTCCATCCCCTCCTTGAGGCAGGATCAAGCCCTCCCCCCCCCCAGGGGGAGCCTAAGGGTAAGGCACCTCTCCCTAGTGAATAGGCTCTACAAAGTCAGTTCATGCATTAGAGTTAGATCTTGGTCCCGCTGCCTCATGCTGCATTTTCAGTCCCATTAAGTTAGATGTCTGGCCAGACATGGCAACACACATGTAGTCCCAAGCACTCAGGAAGGCTGAGGTTGGAAGATCTCAAGTTCAAGGCCAGTCTAGAACTACATAGTGAGGCCCTATCTCAGAAAGACAGAAAGAAAAAATGAAGGATGAGAGGAAGGAAAGATGATTAGGAAAAGAAAGAAGAAAGAAAGGGATGTGGGATTTCCCTCTATATGCTGTGATTATTATTAGTGAATAAAGAAACTGTTTGGACCTGTAACAGGCCAGAACTTAGGTAGGCAGACAAAATTAAACTGAATGCTGGGAGAAAGAAAGGCAGAATTAAAGAGAAGCCATGGAACCACTGCTGGAGACAGATGCACTGAAACTTTGCTGGTAGGCCACGACATTGTCGTGATGCACAGATTAATAGAAATGGATTAAATTAAGATGTAAGAGTTAGCACATAAAAAGCTAGAGTGTTTTAAATAATATAGTTTCCATCTGATTATTTCAGGGCTGTATGGCCAGAATAACCAAGAGGCTCTCCCTGCAACAAGAAAGTACTTTTAAAAAGCCAAATGTCACTCACTGAGTTTGACAACTGCAAGACTGGTGTGATGCACATGATCAGCTCAGGTCTGACCCCCTATGAACCTTCTAGAGATTCTCCCACAGCTTCACGTTCCTGGACACAAATGCCCAAGGAGAACTTGGGAGAGTCATGCTGTCAAATGCAGCACCTCCTTGGCCTGAGTCCGGAATCACTGTCTGGAGCAGAACAGACAGGCCTTTCACCCGATGGCCTCCCTACCTGTGAGCAAAGCAGCACTGATCCGCTGAAGCTGGGCACCTGGGTCTGCCAGTCGTGGTGCTGTTTAATAGACTGCAGTCCCAGTTCCTGCTCTAACTAGGACGCCTGGCTCTTCCATGACAGATTAGACCAGGATATACATTCTTGGGGCATTCACCAAAATGATGCCACTTATTCCATACCTTGGCTTGGTGGCATCCCATGAGCCTGTCCAATTCAAGAGTTCTGGTGGCCCAAAGCGATTGTCTGCCAAGGGTGGGGCAGCATATGGAACTCCAAGGAACTGGTAGACCTGCTTCCAAGAAGTGCCCAACTTGACGACCTGGGATCCACCCTGAAGCTGGCCGAAGGGGTCAATGCGTACAGAAGGTGCGGCTGCTACATCAGAGCCGAGCAATGGGGTTCCTGTTGGGAAGACAAGGGTAGAAAGGCAGACAAGAACAGTGAGAAATAGTATTCTCACTAGCTTTCAGCAAGCAAACAATTATCCTTACAGTTTGAGGCAGCTAGAACAATATCAGGGGTCCATTCACATTCGTATTTAGGAATTAGCCAAGGTTGGCTTTCAGTGTCAACAACACTAACTGTGAATAGGAATAGCGGAAGGTGCTCCATGCAGTGGGATATAAACCAGGGGCAAGCCCACATTTATTCATGTTAATGGACCGTCTCCTGCATCTTTTCCCCCACACTCCTGAGGAGAAGGTGCTAACCCAGGCCCAGACCACACATCAGACACCGAAGAGCCTAGAAAAGGGACACCTGGGCACCAACAGCCTGTCTGGAGTAGAAGCTGTCACCAAGGACTTCTTTTATTCTCTCACTCCTGAGATGGAATATCTGGATCATTCGTACTGAGAGAATGATAAAGGCATTTCTCCAGTCAGTTCATCTCAGAAATTGGGACAAGGGCGTCTACCCTTAGTTGATTTTAACTTCTAGAACACCTTTTCTTCAGTCTTGTAACTGAACGGTCTACAGTTCTGGGGTAGAGACAAGCTGCACTGAGTGATGCTGGATTCAGAGCTCTCCCTCCCCACCCTCCTTGCCCAGCCATGCTGTTCACACAAGTCAAGCCTGGCCTGTGCTCCCTGCCTTCTCTGTCAGGCCTACCCTCCTGGAGTTCATGTCCCAAGTCTTGGTTCATACGGTCATAGCTGGTACTGCTCAGGCCTGCTCACTTCACCAGAGGTTCTCCCGAGCCCTGCTACCACACTCATCAGATCACTGTTGGCCACTGGGGGATACCCTATCTTATTTCCTCTCCTGCCTCCTCCCCCCATATGTTGCTGCAGTGAACGTTAGTGGTATCCAAGCTCAATGCCAATGGATCTTGAGATGGTTCCTCGTAAGACTTAGCCCTTTCACAAAGAATACTATAAATGCCATCAAAGAAAGATGTGGAGTGTGTGTGTGTGTGTGTGTGTGTGTGTGTGTGTGTGTGTGTGTGTTTTGTGTGAAATCTCTTCTTGTCCTAAAGTAGACTTGCTCTGCTCTAAGCTAACAGAAAAAAAAAGTCCACTGTGCTTTCTGCATGGCTCCTACTCTAGAAATGTGTCTAACACAGTGATGCAAACAGAAGTGCAAGAGAGAAGGGCAGAGGGCAGATCAAATCAGTAGTGTTAACGTCCAGATAGAAGATAAGACCAAGGGCCTAGGAGCTTGCCATGACTGGCAGATACTCATAGGCTGAGTGCTGAAGAGGCAGGAGGAGGAAGTCCCTGGCATGCAGAGTGGACTTAAGGAATGATAGTCTGTGTTGGAGTGTGTAGGAATGTCTCAGTCACTCCTGGTTTGTCAATAAAGTTTTAGAGGAATATAGTCAGGTCCATTGCTTTGACGTGTATCACTCCTTTTATCCTACAATGGCAGTTGAATATCTATAATAATAATAATAATAATAATAATAATAATAATAATAATATAGCTATGAAACCTATTCCATTTTTCATCAGATTCTTTCTATAGAAAGGGTGTGACCCTGCTTCAGAAGACAGGGTAGCAGGTACAGCCAACACCTCAACAGACATTCACTTCCCCCATAAGTATGTCCAGTCTCTGGCTCATGTTTCCTGACTCATGTGGCACTGGGAGAGAGATCTGTCTCTAGGTTCCCCCTTCTGCCATCACCTGACTACTCTGTGCCCCAGAGTGCTGACCTCCAACATGAGGAGAAGGTGCTAGGCCTGTAGGCAGAAGAAGGCAAGGACAAGAGCTTTCTTAACCACACAGCATTAACAAAACACATTTATGTATTTTCTTATGAAATTCAAAGGCCCAAATAGTTTCTGTGATTCAAAGAATAAATGTGGTTCAGAAATGGGAATTTCTCCGATCTTCCCTATTGCTCCCAGAAGAATGCTACCTAGCCAACCACCTTTGGCCAAATCTCCCTTAAGAGTTTCAAAGTCACTGCCCTCCAAGTCATACACACACACACACACACACACACACACACACACAAACCCTTTCCAGCCGTTCCTTGCCCCCAAACCATAGATTTCTTCAGAAGCCCAGTCTGACTCACCAGACTTCCGGTAGATGTAATCAGCCTCTTCACGAAGCAGCAGCCGGCAGGTCTGACTCTGTAGGTTGTGGATGCAGTTCTGTATATCGGGATAGAACACACACCTCACACCCCCAGGTTGGATCTGCAGGGTAGTGACAAGGCAGGCCTGGTGACGGGAACATTCTGTAGGAGAGAAGGGAGAGAGGTGGGCCTGTACTCAGAACTATTACCGTAGTTATGAAACATGCATGCATATACCCATCTATCCACGCACCGATCTAGTCATACACTGATCCATCCATATACCTTATCATTCATGCATCCAATCATTCATCCTATTTATTAATCCACAAAGTCACTCACCATCCACCCATCCTTCTATCAACTCACACACCCAC